TTTTGACAGGTGGGTATGCCTCTCCCCCTCGCTCACAGAATATTTAGGTCAAATGATATTATTCACCTATCCATTATTATTTCAAAGATGTTATTAAACTTTTACCTACAATGAGCGAGAAGGACAGCCTTGAGGATGTTACTAGCTGACACTTCTCCGGACTCCTATAACAGAATACTTTTGATCAACTCTACTGATCACTTTAGCCTTTTTATTATGGCATCATTCTAAACCTCTTTATTTTGTTTTTTCTATCTAACTTTTATATAATGGAAATGTTATATTTTTACATGACCAATTTATTTTTTAAATAAAATATAAACCTTTAAACCTTTATTTTTTATACAATTGAAAAAGTCAAAAATTAAAAACAAAACTGTTTTGTTTCTGTCATGTTCTCTCTTAAAAAAGAAATAAAATGTGTTATTATATTACTAAGAATGGAAATAATATACATAAAATATTATGCTATAATTTCATTATCTAAAAAGTGTATATTTAATCTTATCGTACAATTTACTTATATATGTACCAGAGGAACGAAATGAAATAAGTACAACCCAATAAAAATAGAAAAAAGACTAAGCTTGCTGCGACATTAAAGGGAATTAAGACTCTTGATTCATACTTGTGTTCACTGACACCATGGTATGGTCAAGCTTGACTCATATATGAGTCCACCGTCAACTGGATCCGGTTTCCTCTCGACTCATATATAAGTCCACAGTAATTAAAGGGTTAACTGATCACTCATCACCTAAATCCTCAAGTTGGTTGTTTTCCCAAATTAATTTGTAGGAGCAGGGCAAACCATATGATTTAATTTAATTTGATAAACAATCAATATCATATGTAAATAATATAATGTGTTCAGATGTTTTTATGGTTATAAAAAATAATGTTTGTGGTTACAAATAATATTGTGTTGATTAGCAAAATCTGTAACTTTCTTTAAGATATTTATTAAAGTTAATCAATCTTAACTTAAGCCATAATACTAATGAAATGACCAGTAATATTGGTGACCACTCAACGTGATTAATAATTAGAATGTTGAATGAAAGCAACTTCAATATTCCAGAAATGACTGAAAATCAACAATCAAAAGAAGAATATCTTGAAGTAAGCAGTTTCTGTTAAAATATCACCATTCTGGCTTGAACGACCGGATGTATGTTTCAGACAAGTTGAAGCCCAGTTTAAATTAAGCGGTGTCAATACTGAAGGTACGAAATTTGATTATTTAGTATCTCAATTAGATAGAAAATTCGTAGCAGATATAGTTGATATTCTAGATTCAGAAAATGAAGCAAAATATTCACTTTCCCAAAACAAGACTTTTGAGCCTTTACAAAGAGAGTGAAGAATCAAAAATAAAACGGTTAGTAGCTGGTCTAGAACTCGGTGACTTAAAACCAAGTCAATTATTGTGAAAAATGACTTCCTTGGCAGGTACCGACATATCGTCTAAAGTACTTATTGTTAAATAAACTTCCTGACTCAATAAAAAATATAATTTTAGTTTCCGATGAAAATTTAAAAAAACTTGCGATGATGGCAGATAATCATACCCAAATCTAACTAAACCTTTTTAAAGTTTACTACCTACAGCAGTAAAACACGATATTCAACATCATATTGTAACAACGGGTCAACCAATTCATTCCCGTCCTAGGCCACTTGATACGAAAAAATTAGCAATCGCGAAAGAAGAATTTCAATATATGTTAAACCATGGAATTATACGTCCTTCCAAGTCACAGTGGTCGAGTCCACTGCACTTGGCACTCAAAAAGGATGGCTCAATGCGTCCATGTGGTGATTATAGGAGACTGAATTCACAAACCATTGCAGATAGATACCCAACACCAAGAATTATAGATTTTCAACATATTCACCATAAAAAACAATTTTTTTCAAAAATTGATTTTTTTAAGGCCTATTTTCAAATTCCCATCGCTGAAGCAGACAAGCCAAAAACAGCTGTGACCACACCCTTTGGTATGTTTGAATATAATGTAATGCCCTTTGGCCTTCGAAATGCCCCAAGTACTTTTCAAAGATTTATCAATGAAGTATTCCATGGCCTGAATTTCGTGTTTCCATATCTGGACAACTGCCTAATAGCTTCAAGTTCAGAAGAGGAGCATCAATATCATCTTTAACTATTTTTTGACTGTCTTGAAAAATATGGACTTCACATTAATGTTGCAAAGTCGGAATTCGGTGTGCACAAACTACAGTTCCTAGGCTACCTGATCGCACTCAATGGTACTAAACCATTGCCTGATCGAGTACAAGCTATTTTGGATTTCAAACTCCCTGAAACAATTGTTGGACTTCGCCGATTCCTGGGTATTAATAATTTTTATAGGAGCTATCTACCTGAAGCCTCTAAAACTCAAGCTATTCTCCATGAATACACAAAAGGAGCTCGAAAAAATAACAATAGAAAATTTTCTTGGACTTCTGAAGCCATTTCTCAATTTGAGAAATGTAAAATGGACTTAGCGGATGCAACAATGTTTTCCTACCCCAGTGCAGACTTACCTTTGGCTCTTGTTGTTGACGCCAGCGACTATGCAATTGGAGGAGTAGTGCAACAATTAGAAGATGGCAAGTGGAAACCACTTGCTTTCTTTTCCAAGAAATTGAAATGTGCAGAAAAAAACTACAGCACCTATGACCGAGAATTATTTGGCATATACGAATTGGTCAAACACTTTAGACACAACCTTGAAGGAAGACAGTTTGTAATATACACTGATCACCGCCCAGATTTATGCCTTCAAGCACAAAAATGAAAAGGCTACCCCATTGCAACTAAGATGCTTACAATACATTGCAGAATTTTCCACTGACATTAGACAAATAAATGGCAAGCTGAACGTGGTTGGTGATACACTTCCTAGAATCGAATCTATCAGCACCATCGATATGGATAAAGTAGCAGAAGCCCAAGCCAGTGATCCTGAATTTCTGTCAGTGAACAATGGTGAAACATCCCTAGTAGGAGCCAGGGCCCAAAAATCGACCTGATCGCAGGCGAAGGTTTGATTGTAAATTACGAAAGTGTATGTTATTCTGAATAAAAAAAAACTTGTCTGCCGTTCCAGAGCCGCTGCTTTCAAAAATGGTGGCTGATTTAAAGAATATTAGGCAATAATTTGAGGATTGAAACGAGAAATTCATTGCGAAAAATGTGAAGAAGTTTCTTTTTTTTTAACTTGTATATATATATATATAGGCTTTAGACATGTAAAAAACAAAATTGCTAACGCAGGCCACCAAGGGAAAACTTTTTACAGCCAAAAAAGTCAGATTTTTTCGATATTTTTTGGGTTTTTCATCTATAACTCCTAAACGATGCATCAAAGCGAAAAATGTATTCTTTAATAAATTAAAGAGAGTTAAATTTTGCGTCAAAGTCTTAAAGACGAGTACATAAACTTTAAAATTTGGTTACGCGGTAAGGTATAAAACCATGGTCAACCAACATTGAGATCTACCAAATTAGTCAAAAACTGAGACAAATTACTATAAATAGCCCTGTAACTTGGAAATGAGTTCCCTAAGCGGAAAAACCCATAGAATCAAAGTTGTAGAGCATCAAATTTCGCTTATACTCAGTATCAACTAATTTAATGTAGGTCACTTGTGATTCTCTCTCAATCGATATCATATGTAAATAATATAATGTGTTCAGATGTTTTTATGGTTATAAAAAATAATGTTTGTGGTTATAAATTATATTGTGTTGATTAGCAAAATCTGTAACTTTCTTTAAGATATTTATTAAAGTTAATCAATCTTAACTTAAGCCATAATACTAATGAAACGACCAGTAATAAGTTCATATTATTCTTTATGAAATTATTTGATCATAATTTTTTTTTTATCAAAATAAGAATGTATGTGATTTTCATGCCGATTAGTCAAAGTTTATGCATAAGAAATTATAACCACATTAACAAGTTGGAAAATTGAATTGAGAATTGAACTAAGTCAACATGTGGTTACTTACCCCACTCACGATATTTTATTTTCAGTACACAGATATTACAATTTTTTGGATGGCCTATAAAATATGTATTAGGCAGTCTTAATAGTTTTGAAAGCTAGTACTGTTACAAATTATGCATCTTGATATATTATACTATAATGGTTCTACCACACATGCGGCAAACATCTGCCTACTTATTTAATAATTATTATTGTAAGATTGTGGGGCCGGTATAGCAGAGTGGTTAGCGCGCTATACTAGTAAAGCAAAGATCATAGAATCGAATCCCGGCCCTACTTCCCAATATGGCTGGTCCCCGCAGGAAGTTAGACCATTACCCTCTTAATTAGGGGAGGAGGCTTACAGGTAAAATATTTGTAAGGACAGGCTATACAAAAAATCTAAGAAAAAATATTTATATTAGTCATTAAGTAAGCCTCAACCTCAACTGAAAGAAACCTGCTGGAGGTTTATTTATTCCTTTTAGCAACCGGAAGTTGAAAGCAGCAATGAAATAAAGACAAAAAAAGCAAGTTAGGAATTTGGGGGATATCATCAATCGTGATCAAAATAAAGGGAGGTTATATCGTGAACATATCAACACTTAGATATTCTTGAAATCCCATTTATAGAGTGATCATGATATCTTGGTCAATTCATCAAAGTCGAACAACTTTTAGCTTTAACAGGAAAGTTTTAAGATCAGTTACCTTCAGATGTACTTGGATAGTTTCAGTATTCCATGTATTGTGCGATTGATGTGATCTTGGCCCACTTGTCCATTTACTTTTAAAATATTTTTCACATGGAAATTCTAGACTTGGATAAACAATATACAACTATCAAAAGCTAAAAAATTAAATTAATAAAAATATCTAGTAACACCCAAAATTATTAAGCATAATTAAAAATAATACTGAATAAAAGAATATTTAACAGATGTTCTGCTTGACATAAATAAACAAATTATCTACTCATAGATAATCTATTAAGTAACCTCAATAAAAAAGATTCGTGTAATTTCAGAAAGGATTACATGACCAATAAACCACGGAGCCAGCATAACAGAAAAATTAGTCCAGAGTACCCACTCATCATCAGAATCATCCTTTCTTCTTGTAAGTATAGACCAACCTTCAATAAAGTAATTTGATTTGGATATTTCAAAAGGAACTCCTGTGGATCAAAGCATTATTAAAAAAATTAATTTAACTAATTTTTAAACAAATAATAGCATTAACAAAAACCTTACCAAGTAAGTAAACATTGTAAAATGAAAAAGAAAAACTAAACACCCATACTATTAAATATACAGATATTTCTACTTTTGATAATTTTGCAATCATACCGAACTAAAAATTAATTAAACAAGTAAAAACAATAAAAAATAAAAATTATCACAATTATCCTTTTTTGAAAAAAAAAAAAAAAAACCTACTTTCAGAATAACAGTCAAGATGACAGCGAGAACTAAAATAAATATCATAAACAAAGAACAACATAGTAGTAGTAGTAAATTAAGTTTGGCGACGTTCATTTGTATACAATCAATACATAGAGATAGCTGAAATTTAACATTGATGAAAACATAATTAGTAAATTGATTTTTGCAAGATTGATTTAATTAAATCCTTGATTTGCAAAATCTTTCTCTATCCAACAGTGTCCTGCGTTGTTTCAAATATTTCCTTTCCGATCGATCCCAGTATGTAGTCGTCCCAGATCAACCTCCTTCAAAGACACTTCCCCTCTCCTGTGGTGTTCCTCAGGGTTCCTCCTTGTCTCCTACTTTGTTTGCTATTTACATTAATGACTTTCCCCTCCTGATCCATCACTACCAATACCACATCTATGCTGACGATTTCCAAATATACCTGTCCTTCCCCCCTTCTGACCTATTAGCCGCCATAAGAAAGTTTCAAGAAGATTTAAATAGAATATGTGACTGGGCAGGAGCTAACAAGCTGAAGTTGAATGCGGAAAAGACCAAGGCAATCCTAATAGGCTCCAATAACCTCCTCAAAACTGTTCCTAACTTTCCAACCCTGTTCCTACATGATAATCCCATCGAATTTTATCCCACCATCAAAAACATTGGAATAATCTTCGATCAAACCTTTTCCTGGAAAAACCATGTGTCAAATATCTCCGGACGTACCTTTTCCACCCTAAAACACTTAAATAGCCTGCGACACCTTTTTCCTTTTGAAATCCGTAGACTCATGGTCACCTCCTTAATATTTCCCCACTTCGACTATTGCTGCACGGTATATGGAGGCGTCTCTGGGGATCTCGAGGCGAAACTAAAACGTTTGATAAATTGCTTTGTACGATTCATCTTATGGATCCCAAGAGACGCCCCTGTTTCTATGAAGAGTTGAAGTGGCTTTATACTTCCTACCGCCGTAAGTATTTCCTGGCATCCTTCCTCTTCCAAGTAATTCACTCCCGCCATCCTTCATACATTGCCGAGCTCCTTCAATTTAAATCCTCTGTCCACTCCCGCAATACCCGTTCCCAGTCTTCAAATTTATATATAATGGCCCACCGAACCGCTGCTTTCGATAAATCTTTTATTATTCTATCCTCTTCCTTATGGAACTCCATCCCTCCCCACATCCGTCAATTCAAAACCCTTCCTACCTTTAAATCCCAACTGTTCAATCATTTCTTATCCATCCAGTCATCATAAAATTGTAAATAGTTACTACTGTAAAGATGTATATAAATTATTAGATCGTTCTTTATTATTTTTACTTCATGTTTATTTTCAATTTTTTACTTTTTATTATTAACTGATGTAAATTAGAAAGTAACTTATAATTTCTCTTATTATTTTTTTTTCATTTATCTATTTTTTTTTTACTATTTAATCAAACTATATTCTTCTTTATGTATCTCTGAGGCTCCTTAGCCCACATTTTTGTCTCTCTGTATTATTCTAAAGGGACTCGTCCCAGAATAAATAAAGCATTATTATTATTATTTTCCTTATCCTTGAATTGATTATAATAAATATCATGTTAACATTCATCTTTTTCTTTTGTTTAAATAAACAGTATCGCAATATTCCAATTGAAAAGACAATAGTCAAAGTAAATTTGTTTCTTATGTTATCTTTTTCTTCAAACCTAGGAATTTATGAAAAAAAAAAAAATTTATACCCCGTCCGTCACTAAACACCAGAACAGATTTAAAGAGCTTTCTGTTTCTGAAATTCCAACAATTTTATTAGGGCAATATGATTGTGAGCAACATGATCGAAAGTGAACTATCCTACCTGAAGACCATGTAACCTATTCTGAACATGGTACTATCTTCACTATTTTATTGAACATTATACTGTACCATATATATAAAACACTGCACATTGATATCTTCACTTAAAACGTATCTTCAATAGCTAAGTCCCTTAGAGGTTTTTGCTCTCCGGTTCATAACAACTCTTACTTCTCTGCCAGTCTTCAAGCATCTTTTTATATTATCGTTCAGATTTTGGTAATAAAAGGTTATTTGTGCTGACCAAAACTCCTCTGACACCTACTCAACAGTAAAAAATCAGTAGGTGAAGGCAAATTCGCAAATGATGTGTTGTTTAATTCAAACAAGTACATAAAGGGATTCTTTGGAGCTTCTAATGATTTCTTCAGTCGTATTTGCCACCAGTTTGTCTATAACGCTCGGTCCGTTTGCTTTTTGATATTTTGAGCTGATTTGAGACCTTTTAAAAAACCCACTGTTTTTTTCCTATAAATTTCAGAAATTGTCATATATCGGTTTTACCGAAATATGTATATATTGTAATTGTGTGCATTAGTATATTATAGTATTGATATTGTTTATGATGTGTGATATGAAAAAGAATTTGTATATATATCAACATATGATTAAATATAATTAAGTGGTATGTCCAAAAACAAAGGATTGATGAGTATGCTGTGTATCGAGCAACCCTATATAGTAGGGCAGCACTGCTTTAAATAAAGTATTTCTCTCTCTTCAAAAGTGCAGTTTCCGAATTATGATCTTTCATCTTCGACTAACTTGCATGAAATTCCATGACTTAAAAACATGTCTTTCGTAGTCTTAATCCCAAGTTCTCTTGTATTTCCACCTCACAAAATTTAGAATTATAATCCAAAGGAAATAGTTCAAGCAGTACAACTCCATGATCTGTTACCTTTAACCATGGTTCTTTTGGTATCTCCTGTAACAACGTCAGCTTCTTTTATTAAGAATCAGCATATCTTTGAAATATTTCATACTTCTTTTTTACAATATTTAGAATCCATTTTTGTATGTATGATTAATAAAGAAACCCTCTGGCTTAATCAAACCATATATTTTATTGCTAGATATGCATATTGATTTTTTTTTTTAATCTTACTGTTTTAGGAATTTGGGACAGCGATCATATAAAGAGAATTTTCTTCTAAAACATTAATTCATCTTTAACTGAGTAATTTCGTTCAAGTAATAAATCTTTCGTTTTGCGATATCCTTAATTCATTGATTGACTGGCATTTGTTCTTTTTGTACTTGTGTTTCTTTATGAAACATGTGTCTTTTTTCATCTTAATTAGGCATGTACTCAATCAGTGCATAGTTGGGCGCATCTCTTCCATATTCGCTATTGGCAGGTTCGACGAGACAGGCGCGGGACAGTTAGTGTGCAGCCCTAGGGCTATTGGAATTGATATTCGGTGCAGCACGAACTATCTGAAGGGCTATTGCAGAATATTCGAAGGTGGGATCGAGATGGTCTACAAGGTTTTATCTTTAAACTTCTAAATTTACATTTAAAAAGTATAGATATTACATGATACGGGGTGGGTAAATTAAGTAATGAGACTAATTTTTTAGTGTTCGATTTGGCAACACTGGTGACGCGAAGGGGTAGGCAGGTAAACATCTGATACGCGTTGGGATATTACGGAATGATAGAATACCGTATTAGTTCATACCATTCTAGTTCTATGAACATATTAGGTTTCTTAACCGTTCCAGCTCCGAGCAGTTCCGCATGTCATTTAGCTTTATCATTTTTCGTCCTCTTTCTGTAATAAGTGGCATAATTAGACCATTTAGGGCCCTGATATATTTTTTTAGAGGCGAAAAAACAAAAACAAAACGTCAATGTATATTTTTAAATTCTCAAGAACTTAAAAAAAATAATTTTTTTAAAACTAAATATTTAAATAATAAAAAAGTTTATACAAATAATTTTTCAACTTTCCACAGAAAAGTTGAAAATTGTGATTTTGTGTTCTTCCTTTTGTTAGTCCCGCAATCTACGTAAATTTACGTAGTAATTCCCATTTTTTGTTGAATAGAAAGCTGTAACTAAAATATTTAATTTAAATCATTAACAATTGCTTCAGAATAAGCAATAAAAAATTTACTTTCTACAAACATAAAGTACGTCATTGTTAAAACATCGTTTTTTCCACTCTATTGTTTACTGAAAAAAGGAACTGCCGTAGAAGTGGAATATTGAATGTCTTCAAGCGCTATTAATTGAATGTGCTAAAAAATCCGCCGATTAATTCAGAAAAATTGACGTCTTGCTCAGTGTTGTCCAGATCACCATATTTGTAGAATAGAGGATGGATTCGATTTCAGATTGGGTGCAGTGATCTACTAGCGATATTATAATGGAGAGGAGCGACCATTTGTATTCTCTAGCCGATCATTGCTTCGAGCTGAGAAGTTATACACTTAACTGAATAAGGAGGCAGTGACGGATCGTGGATTTAATTTTTGGAGGTCTTGGTTCTTTTCTATAATTCATTTTTAAATAACGCTGATCAATCATAAAAAAAAAAAAATATATATATATATAAAATGTTGTTTATGCGTAGTTTAAAACACGAAAAAAATTAAATGTGGTTAGAACCATACGATAGAAGTAAAAAATCAACAAGGCGGGATTAATAATATGAAATATAATTTTTTTTTTTTTTGTTCTATATTCACATCTTTGTGATTTTCTTCGTTCATCTTCTGTAATAGAAAATATTTAGTAACAGAAAATATTTAAATGTTTATACATTCGTATACAATGAGACGTCAACTAGTATTTTCATTTATTCAGTATCAAGACAATTATACAGTATTTTTTTTTTTATATGTTGGCCCAAAGCTTTCATTGAAGTCCTATACTGATTATACAGTATTGGTACTTTTAAAAAATAAAACTTATGCAACGGGAGACAGTAATTTATGGAAACATTATTGAATTCGACAGAAAATCTAATAAAAACCCTTAATTTCTTATTTTTAATACTTATTTAAAATATATATTGACTTCCGCAAATTCCCCATATATTGGTTTCTGAATTCCCCATGGTATTTAGATTTTGAGATATTTTAGACCAAATATTCAAAACAGTCGTTATTTATTTT